AGTGCTACGATCTGCTGAGATTAAGCCCTTGTTCAACAGATTTGTTTCCTTTTCTGTTTAGTGTCAAGGTGTTCATTCGAAGTGTACTTGGGATAAATTTTTTTTGACTTCGCGTTCGTTCTTTAATTTTTATTTAGGGTATTGCTTTTTAGTTGTTTTTATTTAATGTATATAAAAAATATTTACCAATACTTTTTTTTTCATTAGTTACATTACACATTAAAATTTATTTATTAATTAATTTTTATTACTATTTTATACGTTAATTAATATAATTAGTGATTATTATATTTATTATAATTATTGTAATAAGCATCTTTAATATCACGTACGAAATCATCTACTGAATAACCACCATCACAATTATACCAAATTCCATCTCTTATACATCTTAATTTTCCATTTATAAAAATGGTACAACTTTTGGTAACATTTCGTCGATAAGCTTTTTGTACACTTGATATAAATAATTCTTTACCCAAATTACTATTAACACATTTATCAATAGGATCATAATCCAAACCACACTCATCTTGGGTACATTTTTCCGCCCAACTTTTAGTACCAATTCTTGATGGATCGGAATTAAGGCAAGTGAGAAATGAAAAATAAATTGATTGACTAGGATAAATATGTTGAAAACAAAGTTCTTGGATGTTTCCTATTGTATCACGAGTTAATTCATCATGGAATTAATGATTATAATCATATAATTAATTAATTAATATTTACCAATACATTCTATATCGGAATGTTTACAATGAGCACCATATTTCGCGGAATCGTCAAGTATTGCAACATAATCCGTGGTAGTTATTGAAATATCATGCACTTGTTTTACTATAAAAAAATATTATTATTATTAGTAATAAAAAGAAAAAGAATAATAAATAATAATTTAATTTACACATACCAACTTTATCAAAAATTGCTTCGCATATAATAGCATCCGAACAACGACTCATAACAAATAATTCGACAGGAATTTTATTTTTATTATTGAAAGTATTCAAAGATAGTTTTTGAGTACTAACACTATCAAAAATAATAACATTATCATGATATATTAATTTGTTGACGGAAAATAAAAAACATCCTAAAATTAATATTAATATTAAGAGAGCCTTATATAAGAAATTGGTTTGAATTATTGGCATCATCATTATATTTTTTTGGGGGTATAAGCGAAGGTTGAAAATAATGAAAAAAGGAAATAATGCAAATTTGTTTTATTTTTGTAAATGATTAACAGAAAATGTCATAATTACATTACATACATCAAATTATTATACAAAAATTTTAATCCCATATGCACAACACAACCAATCAACTTGGCTTGGCTCGGCTCGTGGCTCATGAGCTTTACAGTGGCTCGTGGCTCGTGAGCTTTATATAGTGGCTCGTGAGCTTTATATAGTGGCTCGTGAGTTTTAATAATAGCTCAAAATTTTATAGCAGAAATCTTTCACGGACGTTTTGCTTTAAATGCGAATAACTCCACGAATATCGATTCTATAGAAATGAAACATATATCATTTCGTAGACAAGAACAAGGCCTTTCTTTCTATCTTAGAAATATTTTAGTAGGAAATCGCTCTACGCTTCGTAAATCGCGAGCAAATGCATTAGAAGATAACTAATTTTATTTATTTTGAAAAATGTGAATATCTTTACGAATATTAACTTAAATCGTGTGAAAATTTAATTATAACTATTACTAAATATGTTGAACATTTTTTAATTAGTAACTCAAACGTGATATAGAAAGTAGTTTTAAAGTTCGTAGACGATTAAAAGTTTTAAAAATAGTTTTAAAATTTTTAATTAATACATTATTATTATTTCAATTTTGAATAAAAATATATAAAATTTGTACAAAAAGTTTTTTCTTATTATAATTTTGCATTATTATAGTGAATAAAATACCAGATATGTAATCACAGCCCATATGTTCATCGATTATTCGTCGATTATTCGCTGATTATTCACGATTACTCACGATTATTCGTAACTATTTGATGATTATTCACGATTATTCGTATTTATTAAAGTTTTTTAAAAAATTTTTTTTTTATTAATTTGCTCGCGATTTGTGAAGTGTAGAGCGATTTTCCACTAAGGTATTTCTAAGATAGAAAGAAAGACCTTGTTTTTAGCTACAAAATGATACATATTTTATTTCAATAGCTCGATATTTGCGAGATATTTATGTTTAAAGTCAAACGTTTGTGAAATTTCCGTCATAAATTTTCTATAATTTTTCACAAACGTTTGATTTTAAACGTGAATATCTCCGCTACCAGAAGGCAAATAAGTAGACTGCAAATATCGAACATCGAAGGCCTTAAAGATTATATACATAAGATGTATAAACCACCCGCACTTGAAAATGATGAGGTGGAACTCAACTTCATGAATAATGGAGACAAATATTCACCTCGGAACAATCAAGACCTCCGTGAAATCTTCCGCATATTTGTGTCAAATAAAAATCACAAGTTTACTATATTCATCGAGACGTCATCAAAACCTTTCTCAGATTGGTCGTTTCCAAAAGTGTGCCAGCTTTATAATATTAGTAATGACCCGAATCCCGACATTGATGTTCCTCCTTTTTCATGTGGTTCTGCAGACCAAAAATAGCGATGAGTCCAAGGCCGTGATTAAGCATCTAATGGCGGAAATAAAACTTCGTCAAGATGTTACTCCTCTCAACAAGGCAAATGAGGTAACGGAAACTATTTATTCTTATTGCTATCTGGCTTCCGGGGTCTTGTTTTATAAAGATAATTTCAAACTCAGCGAAAAAACTTATCGAAGGTCGGAATGGGCAAGGAAATCTCGACTATGCAATAGAATGTCATTCAACTGGCAGGATCCTTAGAAGCTAAGAAAGAAGATTTTATGAAGAGATTGCTCAGGCATCCGTGCAGATGGAATAAACCTTGTCGCGTAAGTACAAAGCCGATGAAATCGGGATGTAGATAGGGTATTTGGGATTGTTACCTATGCATCCGAATGGTATTTTATGGAATGTTCGCTAGATAATGAGGGGAAGCGATCGTTTAAGCTATCGGAACCAGTGATCGTAGTGTACAAAGATGAGAATTTGTAAGCTAAGGTGGAAAAGGTCCTAGGGCATATTGCATGGTTATTGGAAAAGGCACGGAAACTGGTGGAAGCTTCTCAAAGTGGAGTAAAAAGGGTACGAGAAAATCAAATTTGAATCCCGACTTCCTGTTTACATAGGCAAACTAGAGTCGGTGAAAAAAAAAATATATTTTTAGAGTAGTATAGGTAGCTTTATTTACCATCATGTATCACGGGCAAAGTCCCGATCTTTTGTATTTATTTTTTATCCCTGTATCGGTGACTAAGGTCATCACCTTTGTATATATTTTCAATGTCTCGCAAATAAAAAAAAATAGTGGAGCTAGTATCAGAGGTGTAGCTTCATTTTATCAAATAGACACATATATCATGTAAGCAAAATTACATTATGAAATCGAAGAAAAAAAAGTTGTAATTATAAGAGACAAAGTAAACTCGCTTATATGAAATTCTAATCTATGTATTTAATGTCAAGGGTTCATTCTATTTGCAAGAGTCATCAATTGACTTAGTAAAATCGAAGACCACAAAATTTTGCTCTCGCAAATATTTATCAATTATCTTAGATGTTTTTTTTAGATCGTCTGTATATGTACGATTCTACAAATGTTACCCCATCTCTTAAAATCTCACAATCCTTAATATTGAATTTTTAAAGATTATAACGTGAATATAAGCTCTTTTAAATTGGAACATGATCACACTAATATACAGATAGACACATTGGTTATGCCCTCTCATTCAGATACATCAATGTATTGGAGTTTAGAACATGATTCCATATTCTGAATTTGAAGAAATAAAATATATTGATAAAGGAGGTTTTGGAAAATATATTCAGCTATTTGGAAGGAGGGATCCATTGAAAAGTGGAATATTTTGAAAAAAGAAATAGCTACAGAGTATCATTAAAATCTTTAAACAATTCACAAAATATAACAACTGAATTTTTAAATGAGGTAATTTATACTTATTTTATATTTTATATTAAGAGAATACTCTTTTATAAGCTTAACTGAGAAGTTTATTTATGTTACATTTTTATATTTATTTAGATCAAAAATTATTTAAAGTTTAACCGAGTGACAATAGTACCATGTTATCCCGAGACAAATTATTATATGTTTGTGATACAGTTTATGGAGGGTGGGAATCTTAGAAATTGTTTGAAATCTATTTTTTCTAAATTATCATGGTTAGGTAAATTAAATAATTTATTTTATATTTCAAGTGAATTAAACCATATGCATAATGGGATTAATTTAATTCACAAAGATCTTTATATCGGAAATATTCTCTCATATGATCATGACTGGTGCTTTATTACTGATCTAGGTTTATCTAAACCAGCCGATGAAACTGAAATTTCTAAAGATAGCAAACAAAAGGTTTTTAGAATAATTCCATATATAGCTCTTGAATATTATCTGGTGATGATAATTACTCAAAGGCATCAGATAATGATCATGTTTGAAATATTAACAGGAATTCCTCCTTTCTACAATATTCCCCATGATAAAGATCTTGTTTTCAAAATATGTAATGGATATAGACCAGAAATTCCATCTAATAGTGTTATACCTCAATTACTAGTAGACATAATGAAAAGATGTTGGAATGCAAAATCAGAACGAAGACCAGTGGATAACAGTAATACAAATAGTTTAGCATATGAAATAAATTCATCTGCAATCTACACCAGTAGAGGTTTTAATTTCAAAAATCTTCCAAAACCTAAGAATCTTAATGAAAATGATGATAAAAATGCAAATACGTTAACTACTAGAGATTGTCTAAGTAAGCTTTTTACAATATATAAATGTAATTTACTTTTATTTTAATATTAATAAATTTAATTAATTAATTGATATTTAATTGTATTTTATTTTATGAGTTACTGAAGAATGTATAGAAATTCCATGAGTTGAGTATTAAATATAATTCTATTATAATATTTTTACTAATAAATCACTTTTATTTTATTTTTTTTCAAAAAATGAATAGAATGAAAAATTATATTTTATATGTAAATTTCATATAATGTTATTAGTTATTTATTATTTTTATTCTTATTTCAAATGTATTTTATTGTTAATATAATTAAATAAATATATTTAAATATTTAAAATCTTTTTTTTTTTCGCGAAGATAATTATTTCTACGATAAATTTTTGTACGTGACCATCACGCCATAACGTCAATACCAGCATTTACAAGTTAATATAGTCAGCCGTGTAAGGAATTTATCCTCATGCATGAAATTTTCTATGACGCTATTTTCTTTTTAAGAATTTAAAAGTTCAATGGTACTTAATTTTTAAATAGAAAATTACAAATTCATTTATATTTTATTAGAATAAATAAAAATCACACTAAACAATCGATAATATATACTATAAAAAATTTTTAAACACTCGTTACTACGTTACTACTTAAAACATTCATTTGACTTTATATTTAAATTAAATTATGGAGCAAAATATTATTACAAATAATTTAAAGATAAAGTAGTGAATGAAATACCAAAGAATCTAATATTGATTATGGCGATTATGGAGTATGCAAAGAATGTGGAAATAAAAATGAAGGCTCTTACAATGTAATTCTCAACGTTTTCAACAAAATTTCGGAAATCAAAAAAAAAAAAATGGTTTGCTGTTTTATTTGCTTCTGCCGGAAAATCCAATTATTCGGTATCTAATGTGCAGCATTAATTAAAATTAATAATGATGAAAAAAGAAAAGGTCATTACTTTGGTTTTAATGAGGCTTTAGAAACGTTGGGGTGAAGTTTATTAAGCAAAACATTACTGGAAATATATAATTGATGTCAACAATTTAAAAATTACAAGTGAAAGCCGCTCAAAGTGAATGAGATCAAATAGGAATTTTATTACAGAATATCTTAATGATTCTTGCGGGAATTTAATACATAAATTTTATCTGCATTTCATGAATATAATCAATATCAAAATCCCTTAATGAATACTACTTCGCCTGATCAATTTACGTCAACCTCTCTGCATGCTTATATAATTTTTCCCTCTGAAGAATAGAAAATACTATTCTCACAGGACATCATTTTAACTAAAGTTGGAAGAAGAATTACGAGATGGAAACTTACTGATCAAAATAGTAAAAGAAAAAAGAATATTTCAACAAATTTAACCTCCCAACTTAACATTGAAAATTCAGGAATTTCTAATCAAATTACTTTCGAATCTGAACAACAAATACAAATTGATTCAATAAATATTATACCACAAAATTATAATTTAAATGATCAAGAAAGACTAACAACTAAAAAAATTGAGATAAACTCGTCGCGAAACCAAACCTGAAGAAAAAAGAATTTTAGAACCATTAATAAATTGCTCAGTATATCCAACCATTGATCAAATAAAATATAATTAACAATATTTTCTTGTCAGTCAGAATAAAAATATTAAACAACATTGAATTGCTTAAAAAATACAAAAATTATTAATAAATTGAATTCTATATTTTTTGATATATTAAAATAAAAAAATCTATTACACGGAATGGATACACAAAAAAATACTTTAAAAACAATGATACTTGGGTACGGTTTTATTAATTAAAAGACTAATAGAACAGGAATCTTAAGGTTTATTATCACAAAGTAGGCTGAATTTTCACTCGCATTAATAAATAAATAAAATTATACTGTTTATTTTTATTTTTTTTGATAGAAAAACCTCAACGGAACGAAATATTAAACCGTGATTCGTGAATTGACCGCAACAAATCATGAATTTTTTCATAAATAAATTATTTGTCTTAAGAAAATGGCCAAAATGTAAATTCTTATTTTAAGAACCGAGATCATTATTCAATATTAATGTGTAATTGGAGGTGTTTTAATAATTGCGAGATTCTCGAAACTCACGATAAAAGATGATTATTCAAAAACTTTTAATATATATGAAAATAAAATAACTTCGAAATCCGATAGATATTGGTTGAACTTAATTATTACACATAAAAAAACTATAACCCGCAGCTAGTTAGTCATATAGTTCAATAAATGTATTTTATGCAAATTTAATATATTAAAGCACTTGATGGAATATATATATAAAACCATATGTTTTTTTTTTTTTTTTTTTGGATTGAACGTTTTAACAAAAGTTCATCAGGTCATTTAGTTTCATTTCGACATTATCTTTCTTTCTATTCATATATATATATAACAATTAAACCTAATTGTTATTGACATGAAATTGGACAGATTGCACATCGTAAGAAAAAAAAAGGAAAAAAATAATAATAATATATATAATAAAAAAATCTTTTATTTAAAGTCACTACTTGATTATGGAAATTATGCAAGAAATAACTCAATCCCGAAAAATAGCTATTAATACCTTTAAACAATCCGGTGTTGAGTTATTAGGATGGTATCGAAGGTATAAAATATATGTGTAAAAATATATTTCTTATTTGTCTAATTTCCGGTTAATTGAATAAATTTTTGCAATATTTTATTATTATTGATATAATCAAATTCCTACACAAAATGATATTAAAAAACAACAAGGGATACAAGAAGTAGTATTTTAAATTATTTATCGTAATGTTATATATATTTCAATAAATTTAATTAATTTAAATTTCAAATTTTCCTATCACAAATCGAATTCTTAACTCTGTTTCGAAGATATCAATAATAATAATAATTTGGTTATTATGGAGAAAATGAAATCTTTTTATGAAGTAGCAAATTATTATTCAGCACCAGGAACCTTTCTTCACCTTTCGATGCAACCATAAACCACGATATCATTATCTCATTGTAATTCAGATTTACATCAAAAATATGGCGTACATGTTGACATAATTATCCAGCAATAAAATCATCAATTCATTAATATTAAATTTTCTGGGTAGATTAGTTTTATTTATAATAATTTAATCAAAATTTCTTTTGATACCATTTTTATCTGATTAGTGAAAAGTTCATAAAGGAGAGGTAACTTGGAATAAATAGGTTGAGGTAGTTTATCTTTATTTATTTTTTTTGAATCTCGCATATTTTATTTTTATTTTATTCTTCTATTTATTTAATTTATTTATTCTTTATTTCTCGCATTATTCCCTGTTTAATTATTAATCATTGGTTGACGATTAGGAAAGAATATTGGTGAATAGTTTGATCCATCATAATGTACAGTACATTATCAAAATTATATCACATTATTTCACATTAGGTTTGATTTAAACAATTAATTAAATCTATACGTATATATAATTAGAGAGAATAATAGAGAATAATAATAATTATATTTTATATTTTTAAACGATGGATTATTCTATCTTGATCATGTCCTGCCATAGAATTGAAATCTAATGATAAGAAGTAAGCATATATATATATTATTTATTTAAACATTTTTTGAGTAGATTTGAAATTGTTTAAAAATATATATATATACTTTCCCACAGACCTATCACGCAAGATATATATTTCACAAAGGATGATTTTATAGATTTTTGTAGTTGAGTAGAAAGGTCCGGAATAAGAATATCACGAGAACTATCCTATAAAAGTCTCTTTCTCCATTAATATCATAAAAAGAAATGGTTCTGATTTAAACATATTTTTAGTTTCAAATGACAACATCAATAAAATCAAGAGATATTCCCTTATACCATCATATAAATTATTGTGAATTATGAATTAATATTTAACTAGATTTTTAACCCATATCTATATTTTTTTTTGCACTATTCATTTGATTTTTTTATATTCAAATAAAAAAAAACGCATGCACATATACGGTATAATTTATTATTTATATTCTATTTCAAATGTATTTATTTCTACAACTAGATCCCGTGAAGGTTCTTCTCAAGATCTTTCTTTTTATTGAGTTTTCAAAATTTATAAAAAATAATTGGTACTAAAATCATATGCGAAACAAATTTTCGTAATATGGTCTCTTACAGTGAATACATGTGAAATCATATGCGAAATTACTTATTTTCGTAATGTTTTATAAATACTATACCTACATATGCTAACCCTTTACAGAAAATATAGCAGTCTACTTCCATTTAGCGATATGAGCAATTGCAATCTGTTGGCCTACGCTATAATGTTTACCTTCGTTAGCAAGTATTTCAACTTGGCTTTGCGCTTGGAACACGAGAACAATGTCAGATCCACCAAACTGAAAATAGGATATCTCATCCCCTTTCTTCACTTCATCCCCCGGCTGAGTAGAGAGGACCACGGAAGACACCTGAGCCATACCAATCGGTAAAATTGCCACTTTTCCAACTTTTGGTGAATCGATTACAATCAGACCGCGAGCCTGGCAGAATTGATACCCCGGAGAGTCTGGAGCACTGAGTTTTGGGACATCATCAGCATTTAATTTTCGACAAGGTTTGAGTCTCAGTTTGTCGTTAGGGTCTGTTTGAATAATAACTTCAAGATAAGCCTGGCCTGGTATGACTTTGGCTTCGAGCACTTTGCCATCGACAGGAGCATGCTGACGATGATAGTCGTATGGTGCGAGAAATGCGTGCATAAATTTCCCGCCAGCAAAGTCATTTGCGTACTGACTGTTTGCAAGTAACTCGCCAATGGTCCAGGGGAGGCCTTTGACATCGAAAGTAACAATTGAATCGGCATTAATATCCCGAAAGCCATCGAAGGTCGAGTCTGCGGCACTCACAATAACCGCTGGATTGGAAGCACCGTCAATGGGTCGGGTTCCTGGCAAGAATTTTCGCGCAAAGAAGTCGTTAAAAGAATGCCCTATCCAACCTCCTTGGGGAACTACATAAGCATCCACATTGTAGTTCTGCGCGGTATAATAAGTTTGTAGAGATTCCTTGGTAAGTGATTGAGGTGTACTGAGAAACTCTCCCATAGCGTTGGCGAAATCGACTATCCATTTGGATAGCTCCGTCAATGGCGGTGATGGGTATGACGAAGGCTCAATGGGTGACTGAAACGATTTGACAGTTTTCTGATCAAGGACAAAGTACATCGTGCAAAGCATATTGTAAACGAAAGTTCCTGTTTCATCCTCTGTGGGTACCCACAACACCAAGTAATTAAGAAAATTGTGGTAGTCAGTCAAAGTGCTTATATTGGCCATATCTTTGACGCCTGTCTTGTGAGCGTCAGAGACCGCCTGCTCAAAAGCAATCTCCCAGCCATCATTGCATTGAATCATGTTCATCAGTATTTGAATAATTTGTTGGCAGGTTGCGGGAGTAGGGAAAGGCCCGATAGGTTGGTCAGACATGGATGCTTTTTCTGAGATATAACGACGACAGACTTGTTAGTTTGTAAGAATTAAGGATTTGGAAGCGTTTATTCGAACAAGGAGTCAATAAGATCCCAAATACGTTCAAAGACCGAGTTCAAGGATTTCTGGGCTTGAGTGAGCTTCAAATATTTTTACAAGAAATTTCTTCTCATGCAAAAATTAAAAATAATAAAAAATGTCGGGACTCTGGTGAAAATATTTTTTGGGTTGCCTTTGCACCTTTATGTATCTAGTCTACATTTTCCAAAACTCTAAATAAGGTATGGTTATAGAGATTACCAAACTAGCGAAATTGCAAAATCTTTATGTATCTGGTCTATATTTTCCAAAATGCTCTAAATAAGGTAAATACTGGGATTATAAAAATAGCAAAATTTCAATTCAAATTGAAGCTCCAAAATTAATCAAACTCATTCTGAAGGTAGTACAGCGCCAATAACTAAGAAATCTTTATAACGTTTCATAGAAGAAAATAATATTGCGGAAGAGTAACAAAACGTTACCTCCCGCTGAGTGTTTATGTAGAAAAAATTTTCATTCGTAACACATACATGATTCAGTCGATTCAGTCACACGTGCGAAACAAAATATATTATTTATCGCGATCAAAGAATAACGCAATTTGAGTTGTCAGCTTAAACCAATTTGCTTAATTCTAATCTAAAAATATTCTTCGCGATTCGTTCCATTTTATCTGTATCCTCTTCCGCTTCTCCTGATGGGATCTGGCTGGACGATAGAGTTTCTCGAGTATAACTATTTCTTGAGGCGTTATGTCGGGAGATGTCTTTGACTTCTCAAAATTAGCATTCTTGTTATACCATTCAGGCAAGTTAAGTTCTCTTATCGAGTTGGCATGTTCATAGAGATTAGGTGATGCCCATATTTTTTGATCGTAATTGATAACTTTTTTTATTCATCAACAAGATGAAGATTGTAATCAAATTCTTAAATATATTGAAATTCAAAAAAGAAAAGTATTTTCTATTAAACAAAAAAATATGATACAATCATCAATTAATAAATATTTTAATACATTAGATTTAAATAATAATTTGAAGGAATTGGATAATTCTGATTATTTTGACAAATTAAATAATTTTAGTGATGAATAATTTAGATTATTCATTTGAAAAATATTAATTTGATTTTATTGTTAATAAAAAAAAATAATTTTTTGCATCATTTTTTTTTGTAACATCATTAATTTACATAAGCATACCTGCCTATAAGCATAGGAATTTGCTGGCCTGACACCATGCTTATATACAGGTTTAACTGTATAAATAATTTTTTCATATTATCTAATTAAGAATTAATAATCTCAAAATAATTATTGTTTTAGTTAATTTCATTTCTACTATACAAAAATTTGATTTGTTACTTGTACAATGATTACTTTTTTTTTGTTTATTATCATATAATATTGTATTGTTAGTTCTTTACATAATCAAGCATTAATGTTCATTTCTTACATATGAAAAGTTGATTTGTCATTTGTGCAATGATTGCTTTTTTTTTGTTATACATATTTAAGATAATAGCTTTATTGTTTATATAATCAAGATTAATAATTTTAAGTTAATCATTGTTTTAGTGAGTTTAATTTCTTATCACATGGAAAAATTGATTTGTCATGTATGTACAATGATTACTTTTTTTATGTTCTATTAATTAAAGACAATGGTTTTATTGTTTATTTATCAATATACAATATTGTTTGTTTTTTATCTTATATAATCAAAAACTATTAATTTCAAGATTATTATTGTTTTAGTTAGGTTAATTTCTTTTCACATGAAATATTGATTTGTCATTTGTATATGATTAATATTTTTTTATATTCTATTAAAGGTAATGTTTTTGTTGTCTATTAACTACACAATATTGTTTTTTATTACATAATCAAGAATTAATAATCTCATTGTTTTAGTTAGTTCATTTCTTACTATATGAAAAGTTGATTTGTCATCTGTACAATAATTATTTTTTATATTCTATTAAAGAATGGCTTCATTGTTTAATATTTACATTATTTTTTTATAATTCAATATTGCTTGATTTATTATGTAATGAATTAATATAAGCAATTATATTGTTATTAATTTTATATTATAAATTTAATATTAGTAATGTTATTATGTAAAGGGAACTAACAAATAAATCATCAAAATATTATGCAATAAATATTAATTGTATGTTTACTATTTTATGAATTCACAAATGTGAATTTTTTTTTTAAAAAAAAATTTGATGAATATATAGTTTTTTTAAAGGTTACATATCTAAAAGTTCCAAAACCACACTTTTACTATTATTATTGAATAATCACATTTGTCAAAAATAAAAAATATCCAATCATTTAAATTCAAAAAATTTAATTAAATTAATTTATCACTTTTGTCAAGCCTCCAACTAAATATAAAACATATAACTAAATAAAATTCACTCAATCATAAAAATTTTTTTTAATAATAAAAACTAAAATTAATTAATTGTCAAGCCTCCTAACTAAAAAAATGTTCAAAATTATAATTATTTTTACAATAAAACATTATTAACTTAAATTAAAAAATTTACATGAAAAAAGTAAAAGTTGTATCATATTATATTTAAATAATAAAAAAAATGAAATAAAGTCTTTTTCAGTTATTTACGTTTTTTTTAGATAACAAAAAAAAGGAAAATTTCCCAAAAAGGAGTGATTTTCACAAAAAAATCTCCAAACTATTTATTATATGTTAAAAAAATTGAAACTCACGTATGACGAATGATAAAAGATAATCTTCACATATTAATCATATTAATATGTATACATATGTATGAAAATAATTTCGAAACCCAATAGATATTAATTGAACTTAATTACTTAATTATTATAAAAAAATTCATATTTTTTCTTTTTCGATTGTACGTTTTAACAAAAGTTCATCAGATCAATTAGTTTCATTTCTTACTATTTCGATATTATATTTCTTTCTATCATATTATATACGTATATGTAGATTGAAAAAGAAACCTGATCTCTTTTAACTTCTATGAATAAAATATAATAATAATAAAAATAAAATCTTTTTATTTATGTAGAATGTAGAATATATAAGTTAACAATTAATGAATCAATAATTCCCGCACTTCACGAATTTTTTTATATTGACTCAAAGAATGAAGTAGGTGGAATATGCGACATTGAAGAAGATAACAACACCACTGTATATCGCATAAGCCAATTGGTTGCTTCCGTAAGGTACTTTTTTTAAAAAAATATATATAGATATATTATACGAGTAAAAAAAAAAAAAAGATAATATTCGTGTTTTTAGGGAAGTCACTGCTTTGAAATAACAAAATCCCGAGAAAGAGCTATTAATACCTTCAAACAATCCGGTGTTGAGTTATTAGGATGGTATCGAAGGTATCTATATAAATTATATTTCTTATTTTGAATATTTTATTATTGATATAACAACAATAATCTTGCATCAAATCAAATACCTACACAAAATGATTTTAAAAAAAATAAAGGATACAAGAAGTATTTTAAATTATTTTAAATTATTTATCGTAATATTTTGCATATATTTCATAATTTAATAATTAATTTAATTTAATTTTTTTTCAAAGTTTCCAAATAGCATAGGTGTCATTGTATCAAGGATATCTATCACAGATAGAATTATTATTCTTATGTATGTTTCTGGCACCTATTGAAGATATCAATAATAACAATGTTAATAATAATAAATTTTGTTATTAGGAAAATGTTATGAAAATAATGAAGAGAATGAATCTTTTTATCAAGTAGCAAATTATTATTCAATACCTGGAACCTTTCCTCACCTTTCGATGCAACCACATAAACCGAAGCTCGATGTCATCACCTCTAAGATACCAATCCCAACCAGTCTAGTTGATGATAAACATAAACCGAAACTCGATGACATTACCTCTGAGACGATATTATTATCTGTAATTCAGAATTTTTTACATCAAAAATATAGTGTACATATCGACATAATTATCCAGCGATTAAATCAACAACACATGATGGAATGGGATGTATGTTGAGATCAGGGTGTTTTTTTTTTGTTTATTTATAGTAATTTAATCAAAATTTCTTTTTTAGTATTTAATTTTCTTAATAGATTGAGGTATAATTTTTAATATTATTTTTATCTGATTTGTTTAAAATGCGAAAAGTTCATAAAGGAGAAGCAACTTGGGATAATATGTTGAGGTAATTTATCTTTTTGAATTTCGCAAATTTTATTTTTTTTTATTAATTTATTTTATCTATTCTTTATTCCTCGCATATTCCCTGTTAATTATTAAATAATTATTTTTGTAGATTCTCTCATGGTTTATAGATGATATGTCTTCAAGATGTCTATTTCTGTTCATCGTATGGAAATCATTGGTTGTCAATTAGGAAAGAGTATAGGTGAATTATTTGGTCCATTCGGGCCATTAAGTATGTAATTTATGTAATTTCATAATATTCATTTTATATTTATCAAATTATATCACATTATTTCACATTATAAAATATTATAGGAAAACTTTCCAGGAGCTCAATTAAAACAAAAGACGGCGTAGTTTACAAAATTGATGTCTAAAAACAGCAAAAATAATAAACATAACAAAGATTTCCAATCAATCTTAATTTTGGTAGCTATTCGATTAGGAATAAATAATTTAAACCCAATATATTATGATGCTCTCAGGGTAATTAAAATAATTCTTTTTTTTTTTCTTTAAAACAAACAAATGTTGAAAAAAATTCATCGCATTATTATTTCCTCAGAGCGTAGGGATAGCGGGGTAAGTGAAATCATTTTGAATTATTAATTATTATTTTGATCGAATTTATCAAAAAATCTAACTTATTTAGTATCCAATTGAAAAAAAGGGGAAAACCTTCTTCATCTTATTATTTTATCGGAACACAAGGTTTGATTTAAATAATTAATTAAATATATATATATATATTTAGAGAGAATAATAATAATTTATTATATTTTTTATATTTTTAGCCGATGAATTATTCTATCTTGATCCACATAATTCACGTCCTGCCATAGAATTGAAATCTAATGAACAAGTTATCGAATAAGTAAACATATATATATTATTTATTTAAACATTTTTGAATAGATTTGAAATTTTATTTTCTGTATAATTTTTTATTTAAAAAAAAAATATTGGAACTGTTGACCTATCATTGTGATGTACCACGCAAAATATCTATTTCACAATTGGATCCATCCATGTTACTTTGATTTTATTGTAAGACAAAGGAATGATTTTGAAGATTTTTGGTTGAGTAGAAAAGGTCCGGTGTTTATTGCAGACTTCGAGGTCGTCGTTCACCCGAAACGGAAGGCAAATAAGTGGACTGCAAATATCGAACATGCGTCTCTCGAAGGCCTCAAAGATTATATATATAAGATGTATAAACCACCCGCACTTGAAATGATGGGGCGGAACTCAACTTCATGAATAATGGAGACAAATATTCGCCTCGGAACAATCAAGACCTCCGTGAAATCCTCCGCATATTTATGTCAAATAAAAATCACAAGTTTACTATATTCATCGAGACGCCATCAGATTTGGTCGTTTCCAAAAGTGTGCCAGCTTTATGATATTAGTAATGACCCGAATCCCGACACTGACGTGTTCCCTCCTTTTTCATGTGGTTCTGCAGACCTAAATAGCGATGAGTACCTAATGGCGGAAATAAAACTTCGTCAAGATGTTGCTCCTCTCAACAAGGCAAATGAGGTAACGGAAACTATTTATTCTTATTGCTATCTGGCCTCAGGGGTTTCGTTTTATAAAGATAATTTCAAACTCATACCGGAAAAACTTATCGAAGGTCGGAATGGGCAAGGAAATCTCGACTATGCAATAGAATGTCATTCAACCTTAGTATAATCGAAGCTAAGAAAGAGGATTTTATGAAGAGATTTGCTCAGGCATCCGTGCAGATGGAATCAACCTTGTCGCGTAAGTGCAAAGCCGATGAAATCGATAATGAACAGGATGTAGATAGGGTATTTTGGATTGTCACCAATGCGTCCGAATGGTATTTTATGGAATGTTCGCTAGATAATGAGGGGAAGCTATCGTTTAAGCTATCGGAACCAGTGATCGTAGTGGACAAAGATGAGAATTTGCAGGCTAAGGTGGAAAAGGTCCTAGGGCATATTGTATGGTTATTGGAAGAGGCACGGAAACCGGTGGAAGCTTCTCAAAGTGGAGTAAAAAGGGTACGAAAAAATCAAATTTGAATCCCGACTTCCTGTTTTGCATAGGCAAACTAGAGTCGGTGAAAAAAAAAATATTTTTAGAGTAATATAGGTAGCTTTATTTACCATAAGACCATCAGATCTTTTGTATTTATTTTTTATCCCTGTATCGGTGACCAAGTCATCATCTTTGTAACTATTTTCAATGTCTCGCAAATAAAAAAAAATAGTGGAGCTAGTATCAGAAGTGTAGCTTCATTTTATCAAATAGACACATATATCATGTAAGCAAAATTACGTTATGATTACAAGAGACAGAAAATAAACTCGCTTATAACCTATGTATTTAAAGTCAAGGGTTCATCCCAACCAAGTCTAATTGCAAGAGGATCATCAATTGACTTAGTAAAATCGAAGACACAAAATTCTTCTCTCGCAAATATTTATCAATTATCTTGGGTGTTTTTTTAGATCGTCTGTATATTGATGTACAAATGTCGTTCCGACTGCCACTCTCTCGGAATAAAGTCAAATGCGAAATATTTTCACAATACATAAATGGGAGAGATATTTTGATGTTGTCCACTAATAAAGTAAGGAATAATTCGTTCCTGAATTTTTTTTGGTTCGATACATAAATCCTCAAATATAACAACTGTACTTCGTTCTGGCAAAAATTTAGTATATCTGAAATCTTATGATATTCTTTTAAATGTAACTTCTTGATATGTTTTTTCAGAAAAGAATCTTTAACTAGTGTCTATTTTGGCTCAAATTCTTAGCTATTACCCAGCATAAGATTAATAACCATATTTGTTTTTCTACTATGTGAACCTCCACAAACTAGAAAACGAAAGGGTCAAACTAGAAAACGAAAGGGTCAATCTGAAATAAATTTGTTACCTTTCATTTTGTTGTAGATATCTCATCTATATTATATACACTCACCTAGCAAAAGTATCCGACCACTTAAAAATTATTAATTACAAAGTAAATTTTTATCCGTTAATAAC